TGACGTTACGCGCTAATTCTCTTTCACTCTACCTTAAATATTTACCATCTTTAACAGCCAGCAACTCTTATTTGAGGCCAGATTTAATTAGGCAACCGTATCTCATAATAAACAAAAAAAAAAAAAATTGCTTTGATTTGATATATAAATAATAAATGTACGTTATGAACGTATAAATGTATTAAAATCACACCTGTTTACACCTGGCTGCGAAGAGGTGCGGCCAAGTGCGCAACGGCAACTGTGATCTTTCAGTCTTTATATATATTGCCGTGAAGTGAATGATATTTAATTTAAAAAACAAGTGAATGTTTTTTTTTGCCGAAAGTTCAATTCACAATAATTTAATTAAAAATACTAGCTGCCACATTTTAGTAAGCAACCTGGTAGATATATATATTCTCCTAATCATAAATATGCGTAAAAATTTGGTTTTTGGAAACACTCGATTAGTGCACTAGTTCTGCAGCCGAATCTTAAACTATTACATCCTAATCATTCAACGCGTGTGGTAACATGTAATTCGATAAGAGCGTATTTAGATAAAGCATTATAAAACGTATTGGAATATAGATATGATATGTAATTTATGGATTGTACTAAAATTGTATATTATGACTCTATTAGATAAAAAAATACTTGCTAATAAAAAAAATACCGCCGACCTTAAACCGTATTGAGTCTAAAAGTTTAAAATAAGTAGTGGATCAACCGTTATTGTGTCGGATAATAAGCGTTTTACTATCTATTATGCACGTGTTTATACAACTTGTTAAAGATAAGCTTAGGGATTGTATCGGCCAGAAACAGTGAAATTGGTAATTTCCAATAAATCTCTCCATTTCGCTACGTTTTATTTTCGCCTGATATTTCTTCTTTTCTATGTTTGAGATATTTGTCTAGTAACTTTTCGCACTTTAATGCATTATTCAGAATCATAAGTGAATCATAGTGATATGATCGATTGACGATTGAAATTATTCATTTCTTAAAGTGTGACATTGCCTCTAGACCAGGGATTCTCAAACTATTTTACAAATTACTTATCTAAAATGAACTGATACCTCAGACCAAAAAAGCCAAATTACTGCACGCTTATCGACTTGTTGAGTTTTATAAAAGAACAACATTGTTACTTCCTAATGAAATATTAGCCATTCTTATAACAAGTTGATATACGTAACACAACTAATACAGTATCTTGAAAGTTCGGTTCGGTTCGACATCTAGTTCCGGTTCCAGTATCGAAAAAAATATTGGCCAAAACTAACTAAACTAACTATTTAAAAACGCGTAAGATTTATTTTTCGTTTCTGTTACTTCTAGAAATGCTATTATCTTGAATTAACAGAACTTAGTCCGTCAAATGATCGCCTACTAAAGGTAGTCGCGAAACCGTCGAACGTAGAAATGTTAATTCGAGTTTCGGTTTCAGCCGAAACTGTTTCGGCGGGCACTAATTCGAAAGAACTTGTTAAAAGAATAGAGGCCGATTTTTAGACCTTGTCGACCCCCAAAATCAGTTTTTGTTTATGTCGAGGCCTAGAAAACCGATTTCGACCCCAAGAGGACTACTTTGAGAATCCCTGTGCTGAGATGAAACTGACATAATAATGAGCTAAGTTTATCCACATAGCCCTGTTTATAGGAAGAAACAATAGAATTTGTTTATCTTAGGGTTGGATGAAATAAAACTATACACAACTAGCTGTACCGTACTGTGATTGCATTGATAAGAAATAATTAGAAAACTAAAGCGAACTAAATAAAATCAGTATTTGAAGTGGGTTGTATATCCTGTCAAAATTTGAGATCAACTGGTGCAGAACATTTTGAGATTGTGAAAGCATACACAAACCAACTTAACATTTTATATATTTATATATATATATGTATAGATGACTATTACTAAGTAAATTGCATGCAAAATGTTTTCCTTGCTTTGTACTATATAAATTAACCTGCTAGTCAAAGATCTGTTCCTAACGAGTGCCATAGTACTATACCTAAATATTATTTGTTATTGTGTAAAGCATGAATTCAGTTACTTTAAAATACAATTTATTAGTCAACAGGAAATTTATTAGCTACATAAATTTTCATACAACAGTCATTTTGTTAAGGAATCTATTTTAACTAATCGGAAATTAGCAGCGCTCAATACAACACAACTAATATTCAAACGAGTTTATACTGCTGACATAATTGATATAAATTTGTCAGCAAATGGCAACCTTTTTCCAGATGAATAAATGATGTAATAAAAAAGTTGTATATACTAACATGCAAAGAGAACTTTTTGTACATATTATTAATATTGCAAGATCACTCAACTACAGATACATATCAAAAACATGATTTGATTCAACAGTCAACAGAGCTTTTAATAAAATCGTTAAAAAACCACCAGTATTGCTACCTGCTTCAACAACCAATATTTGACAACCGAATGGAGTAGTGGTTTGTGTAACGGACTGCTATTCCAAAGGTCGCGGGTTTGATTCCCGCTCAAGTCAAATATTTGTTTGCATGAAAATTTAATGTTTGATTTGGTCTGGGTGTTTCTATGTATAATAAGTATGTATTTACAAAAAAAGTATATATGTATTTATCTCAGTTGTCTAGTACCCATAGTACAAGCTCTGCTTAGTTTGGGACTAGATGGCGTTGTGTGAATGTGGTACAATATTATATTATTATTTTTTAATTTTTAACACTTTATTTATAATGGTTTTTGAACATAAAGTACACATAGACGCATGTAAATAGATTACTTTGAATTATGTTATACAGTTATTAATGTAGTAGACAGAACTAAAAAAACACCTTTTCAGATGCCTACAGTTTCCTGCATATAAGTATGTGTAATTATGATTATATATACATTGTACATGGTCCGTGTGGGGACGGATTAAGAATACAGAGTGTCACCACCCCTATTCAACCCGTGGGTGTCGTAAGAGGCGACTAAGGGTAAAAACTACGCAGAACAACAGCACTGAAGAGAGAAGGAAAACTTGACACAAACCCTATACCAACCCGTCTGGCCAACGTGGTGTAGTAGGCCAAAACCTCCTTCTAAGGAGAGGCCTATGTCCAGCAGTGGACTAGTAAAGGCTGTTGCTGCTGCTGCTGCTGCTGTTGATACATTGTACGAAGGCCTATTCCAAAGGGTCTTAAGAAATTCTTTTCCAGTTTACATTACCTCATACAGAAATAAACAAACCCATGGTGTTTAAATTTTTACAAGTATAGTCATTTCATTACTTAAAATCATAAAAGTAAAGATGAGATATTTTGTATTATTATTATTGGAATATACAAAAAATAATAGGACTAGGCAATTTAACTATTAAGTGGGCACTACTCATAAAATATTTAATACACAACATTCTTTATCTAAAACTATTGAAATCTGGTGTTATGAAACAGTGAACAACTTACAGTCTTAAGTTTCTTCTTAGGAGCAGACGGTCCATCCATTTTTATAGTAATAAATAGATGATACTATACACAACACTGGCTCAGATTTACAAAGTTAAGGCAGAAATTAATAATACTATTTAAAAATTTAACAATAATACATGTTTTTGAAAGAAACAAATAGTATCACATTACATATCATTAATGCAAAGCCCACGAGAGAGGGGATAATTAATGCAAAAATCAAATCCAATGAAGGCCTTTAAATAAAGGCCTAGCGATCACACACAGTACACACACACACACACACGAGATAACTTGGTACAGTAAGTGACACTGACAATACGGAAGAATGACATTGACAGAAAAGCATTCGTTTAATTTCATGTATTGGATTGAGACTGAAACTTTCTAACAAGAACATTCATTGTTTTATTCTAACGCCAGCCGTTTTAGTAAATGTTTTTTTGGTCTAATTTATTGTTCTAATAGTATTTTTAGCTCGATATTACACACTCCATTAGTCTTCATTATAAACGATAGGCAATGTGTTAATGGCATATTCGTCTGAAGTAGTATCGTTCGGTGGTGATTAGATAATTCATACTACTTGACTTACAGGTATACGGTACGATTTGCCTACAAAGAAGGGGCTATGGGTAGCAGAATGGTGTGATTTTAACTAAAACAATCAAACGCCATTCTACATTTAAAACAAAAACATATCAACTCTCAAATCAAAGATGTTTTGAACCTCAAGAGTTAGTTTAGAAGTATTTCTAAAATAGATACACACCTCCCTTATACTAGTCACATTCAATGAAATGTTTCAAACAAATTAAAGAATGAAATGTTTTTACACATGACTAGTTGCAATATGTACTTGAACGATTTGTTGTTGTGTAGTATGCGTGTTCATGCAAAATGTGGTCGAAGCCTAAGATTGGAATAGGGTTTGCGTTATAACAGTCAATTTTTCTATAGCTCACTTGTGTATCTCCACTTACAAAAAAAGGGGTAGGTTGGTCTGTTTTATTTGACATTAATTAAATATATACACAAAATACATAGTTGGAAAGAAATTAATTCTGAATTATACAATGGCCAAGAAGATAATCAATTCACTACACTTCACTTAGGTCCTTACATAGTTAGTAATACTAATATTAATACTCTTAAATAAAATAAACTTATGATGATAATTTAAACTAAAAAATCGACTTCTTAGTCGATTTATTCACTTGCACCTCGTTTTTATCATAGTGCCATATTCGACATACTCGACATGATTTGATATATAAATAAAAATAAAAAACCTAGACAAAATATTTTTGGATTCTTTGGTCTATGGTTTGTAATTGGAGAAATATTAAACAAAATATAATTCACAGAGATCATTAGTATTCAAAATATTCAAATATCAATTTTTAGAGCGGTCTAAAAGATCACAGTATTGATATTTACATAATCAAGTAATATTGACTAGTCTGCGCCACCGTAGCAAGCAGAATCCAAACAGAATCAAAACATTTGGAACAACAATATTGTGTGCATGATTTTGTTTTGTTATTATTAAAATGCCTGCTGTAACTGCAACTGCAGAAGAGCAGAATGAAGAGAATCAAAAGATGTGGAGTGCTCTAAAGCGTTACATTATACGCGAAAGGCAAAGGAAGAAAGAAGGTGATACTCTTAAAGCTATTACTGTTCATTTGGAGTTTTCTTCATTCCTGTTGGAGTTAAAGGTTTTAAAACGTTGATAAGCTTCATCATAATACTGTTTTTAAAGGTCTGATTCTCGACTAAGTTTTGTATAGGTTACTTGGAAACATCATTTCGTAGTGATCACTTGTAACGTGTGAAAAACTGATTTTCAAAATAGTTTGATCTAGTTTCGAGTCTGCTTATCGGGTATCTGAAATACCGACACAGAAACTTAATTATCTTTCTTGGTAAAAGCTATACGCAAAAATGTTTATCTTCTAATCACTGATTCTCTGTATTATGTTAAGACATCAGTTTGCCTTTTGTTTTCTTGTTTTATGGATCCTGAGGACTCGAAAAAATTATTTTGTTGATGGTTAACCAGTTTTAGAGTTACTTAAGAACCAAGGCTATGCATATTGTAATTACAAATTTACCTTGAACAAGAAGTAAAACTTTATAAGTACTTAGCTTAAGTGACCATGAAACGATAACAGAGATAACTGGACGGATGGTGTAGTGGTTTAAACAGTCACCTCGCCGCGTCCTACTGCGCTGAGTGTTGTGGGTCTGATCCCCACATAACACTACACTTTGTGTGATTTACAAATTGTTGTTCTAAGTCTGGGTGTTCTTTGTGTCCGTTCAATGTATGTTTGTAAAGTCTCCTGTGACTCAGGTTATATTCATATTGCGGGACATGTCTTTAAAAAAAAAACTTTATTCAATACCTACATTGCTTTGGAATGCTTAGGATGTAATGATTATAGTACACCATTAAAGAGAAATAGTATTTCTAACATAAATGTTCATAAAAATGTATCAGTATCCTGTTTAAAGGAAAAGAATATAAACAATTGTTTGTAAACAATTTTAAACTGCTTTAATGTTTTAGAATATGAAGCAGAAGTGGAGGAAGAGAGGCTGCGCAAAGAACGCGAGGCCAGAGAGAGGCAAGATGTTATGACCCTTGGTGTGTATATTTGCTTAGTAGTTACAAAATAAAATAATATGTATGTTGTGGTCAGATCTTGGAAATAATTGCCTCATGTTCAATCATTTCATGAAATACTGGTGAATATGGAAAATACCCACTGAATGAGTGATGACTAACGAGTAAATGTTGTGGTTTTTTTTTTCAATAATAAGAGATATTAGCATTTAACTATATGGCTAAATTAAATGGAAAGGATGTAAGAGTATACCAAAACTTCTATCAATTAAACAAATGAAAGTTGGTATAAACTTCTAAGAAGTGTTGATCTTCATAAATTATTCCTAAGAACCAAATAGCTCAGCCTCAGTCACACACACACACACACACAAATCCATCAAACCTGTAACATCCTTCTTTATTCTGGGGGTTAAAAATTACTTTGTATTTAGTAATGGGTTCACTCATGGGTTTAGTAATATCTAAGTTGATTTTTAATTATGGTTATTGCTCAAATTGCAACATACACACTAGTAATTAATAATAGCAATTATTTTAATCTTCATTACAATTTCTGCTGCTTCTATTTGATTAATTTCAGAGGAAACTAAAGAACAAATTGACCAATTAGAGCTGAAGCTTAAACAGCTTGAAAAAGAAAAACAGCAGCTTTTCATGCAACTCAAGAAGGTTTTGAATGAAGATGAAATTAGAAAGAGACAACAACAAAAGGAAACTAAGTGAGTATGGGAAAGTTTGTATTTGTATAATTTTAAATCCCTTAGATTACACAAATTTATTGTTTTCATAGAACTTGTATTTGAGAAAGTCTCATAAAAAACAACTTTTAACTTATCTAGATATTGTTTTTTTAATTTTTTATTAGCCAGTTTAGCTTAGATATTTTATTATTAAAATTGCTGGTAATTTGAGTCCTATTATTATTCTTCTCCAGGTCTCCAAGTAAGTTGTTTGTTTAAATTTTGAACAACTTGATAGCAGGCCTAATGCTTAAGCCATTAGTTTCACTGCTGTATCTAATCCCAAGCCTATCTAAATTGCAATCCCAAATATTTTTAAACTGAATTGGTTCAATATGAGTAAATAACATTGAAAGATAGTGATTTTTACAGCGAAATGCAACCCATGAAGATGCCTATGGGCAATATCTCTATTCCAATGTTTCCGATGTCTTCATCTACGGGTCAGAGCGAACCCCCACAGTCCCAAGGAAGACCACCTCCACTAACATCGCATTTAATGCCCAAGGTAGTATGTTGCATGTTCGTCTTGTTATTATAACACATTGTATGAAAATGAAGTTCTGAATTTAAAATAATTTTGCACATATGGCACAAATGGGCCAATTCCACTGAAGTAATATGCTGTTACATTTCAAAATTTAATTGGGTGAATATTATTACAAAACGTATTAAATTCTATAAAACGGATAAAATATAACTTTTTACTTTTGAAATATGATTTTAGTCTGACAAAACTGGTTTTAAGAGCACAAACATGTCTCAGGTAAAAAAAGCCCGACCCTTTTTTTTACCTGAGACATGTTTGTAAACAAAAGATCTGTTGAAGCTCTCGCCAATTAAGTAACGCACGATACGAGTGATAAAGAAAAGATATGGTTAATGAATGCTATCCCTTTCATTCCTAATGTTGTAATCTCCAGAAATCTCGAAATAATTTAGTACGATCTCGTAACTCGTGCGTCGTATGCGTTTTGTTTTTATTATGTGTGTTTACCTCCGTCGTTTATTTATCCCTGCCCCGGACTCTGCTTAATTTGCCTACTGATTGGATTAGTTGGACTTTGGCTTGCTCAAAGCTTTGGACAAACGTGCAGTGCAGTGACAAAAATGTCTCGGTACACACCGCACAAATATGCTGACATGCATTTTATTTACGGTGAATGCAGAGGTGTCGGTAGAGAAGCAGCTCGACTTTATCGGGAGAGATATCCCGATCGAAGACATCCAGATCATCGAGTTTTTGGGAGAGTGCATAACGCATACAGCGAGGGGAGGATACCTGGCACAGGAGTAGGCGGTGCAAGTGAAGGACGACCGCAAGTACACACTGGTGAAGAGGTAATGAATTTAGTTACTGAAGATCCTTCAGCATCGGTCCGTGTCTTAAATCGCAGAACTGGCATATCCAGTAGATCTGTAGGTACATCGCATACTCAAAAGACATGAACTGTACCCATACCACTATCAAAGGGTACAGTCATTACTACCAAGAGATTATCCCTTAAGAGTAAGATTTTGTAGAGAAATGCTACGCAGAAAAAGAGAAGACCCGCAATTTTTAACAAAATATTGTGGAGCGACGAATCGTCCTGCAAAAAGGATGGATATTTAAATCTACACAATCTGCATAGCTGGCAGCTAGAAAACCCGCATCTCATAAGACAAGACAGATCACAGTATCAATTTAAAATAAACCTTTGGACTGGAATCATTAACGGACAGATAATCGGTCCACACGAGCTGCCAGAAACTTTAAACGCAGATAGATATTTAAGTTTTTTGCGAATTGACTTGCCTTTGCTTCTGCAAAATGTCGCTCCTGAAGTCCAAGAACACATGTGGCTACAGAACGATGGCTGTCCCGCTCACTATGCTGTTAGAGTACGAGAGCACCTTAACATAGCGTATCCAAATCGGTGGATAGGGCGCTTAGGTCCAAGATTTTGGCCACCGCGCTCGCCGGACCTACATCCCCTGGACATTTTTTATTGGGGTTACCTGAACGAAAATGTCTACAAGGAACAAATCACCTCTATTGACCACTTGAGGACTAGAATCCAGACAGCGGCTAGGAAAATCAACGAGAGCGAGTTTGCTCGGCGACTTAAACGGTCGTTTATTCGATGTTGCAGAGCATGTATAGCTGCGAATGGGGGCCATTTCGAGCATTTGGTCTAATTTTTACAGTGTTTGTAATCATGTCAAAGAATAATAATAAACGATGACTAGTATGACTTGTTTTTTTTTAATGCCTTGTTCTAATTTACAATTTAGGTCAAGAACACTCTGTAACAGTAGTAAAAAATTGTTATTTTAAGTCTTTTTCAATTAAAATTGCAATATTTTTTTTATTAATGGGATGGCTAATCGTTTTAAAATCTGTGTTTAGTAGGAATATTTTAAAATGGATTGGCACTGACAGTGTAGTTACTTTTTTTACAAAAATCATAAGTATTAACGCAACTAAATTTTAAAATGTATTTTAATGAAAATCTTCTTTTCTTCAATTAAAATTGGATATCTTTTTGTTAAACAAAAGGATCTGCTATTGTGATACCATTTTGAAATTGGTATTTAGTAGGCATATTTTTAAATGAATGGGCACTGACTTAGTATTACTGCTGCTTAGTACGATTTTTTTACAAAAATCGGTCTTGAATTAGCATGATATGTTAAAAATTTGGGTTAAAAGTAGAGTGAAACCAATTTTTTTCTTCAAAAGCTTTAAATTTACATTAAAAACATGTTATTTAACGATAGCTCTAGTATTCAGCAGTAATTACCAGTAATCAAAATGAAAAAATAATGGTATTTGTTAAAACTACAACCAAATTTGTAACAAGAGGTACACATATCGTAAAGAATTTAAAAAAAATTATATTTTCGGAACCTTTGGGTAAAAATGGATAAAATTGTAATATGTTATAGTAAATTATCTGGTTTATCGAATCCTTAATGGTGGACCACTATTTACGCCACACCCTGTATAAACCATCATCAAAAAAATATAAAGATAAAAAGTAATTAATTGTATAATACTGATACTTAGATTTATTAGGTATCTTAGGACCCTTTAACGTGTGACTTATAGATAAACCGCCGTAAGCTTGGCCCTCCTGATGGTTTGGGGGACGCGGGGCGGGGGTGCATTCAACCAATTAGCTAGTACGTCGCTGTCCGCCGGCAGTGACTGACGTGAAAGCATGGATGTACGTGTTATTTTTCTTAAGACTGCTACACACGGTATTATTTTGCAACATGGATAATCCGCCGACTCTGCGTCACAAAAAGATTTAAAAACTTGAAGTTTGGCTTACAGAGGTTCTACTGTTAAAGTTATTATTTTACTTAATTTTTAAATTGTATCTGAATATAATTTACATGATGAAGATAAGCTGATTTTATTAAAATTATTTTACAGTATTAAATTTTACAATTAATCATAAAAACTTACAATACACTGACATTATAATACATGGAAATAAATTCGATTTTTATTACATCGTGTGTAGATTAAATCTCAAACAAATAAATCTGCAGATATCGAGTTAGTACATCGTGTCATGTATAGCCGAACGCATCACCCGCCCCGCGTCCCGCAAACCATCAGGAGGGCCAAGCTTACGGCGGTTTAACTATAATTTACGGATGGCCCCTTACCACCAGTTATACTTATCTGATCAATTGCAATAAAAACGATAAAAAAGTTATCCTGTATTCTACAAAAACGATCACCCATCAACGTGCACGTATTATCGTATTATTCTCCTTTGTTTAAGCATAAGCACTCAAACTTGTTTCCACAACAGCAGACTATTGTGCGTGGACCGATACAGTCCGGGGTGAAGAGACAGCGCAGTCCTTCGCCGAATTATGCAATCTACTCAGCACATCGCTTGCACCAGCAGCCTATGAAACATCAGAATGTATATTCAGATCACAGTAAGTTTGAATTTTTACCAATTTTGTACCACCTAGCGATTGTTTTCAATATGTAATAAATGTGCTAGGGCTCCAGGCTTGAACTTTTTAACTGTAACCTGAAATCATTAAATGTAAAAAAATAAAAATAGTAAAAATAGTAAAATAAGTTATAATTTAATTTTAAAGTTAGTTTTTTTTCTTATTCATGGTATAACTTCTAAACCACTTGCCTAACTACTCAATATTGACACGGGAGTGGTAGAAATGAAAAAAATAAAAATAAAGAAAAAATAAGTAGGTGAAAAAGGCTTTCATTAGTATATATGAAATTTTGCATTGTTTTAAACAGTTATTTTGGCCTGAAGAATATACATGCTGTTACTTATTCGAAATTGTTTATTGTACGTTATGTTAATTTATATTTGCAGAGGTCGAAGATGGCCGAATGGGCCGTCAAATGGCCCGAGCAGTGCTATGGAACAGTGAGTTGCATTCACGATAGGTGTCGTCACTCGCTTTTCATTTCTTCACTATGCTTGTGTACTGTCCCTGTTTTCTATAAATGAAAGTGTGAAGCGTGCCATAGGATATTTAATCTTTTAAAAAATAACTTTTGTAAAGGATTTTCTTTAGGCACAAGACAAAGCCGCCTATTTTAAGAAGTATTTTCATTATATAAGAGATTAATGCGTATTTAATCTGCTCGTAACATATTTCTTGTTACCTGTTACATCTGCCAATAATGTGTGGCGGCGTGTGATGGCGGATTTATAGTGCTGCTTGGTGTGTAGTTCCCTTGTAGGTTCTATAATAATATATGTAGGCTTCTTAATGTAGGATATGTATATTATCATGTAGATTTAGATATATTACATATTTGATGTGTTGGTACGTTTGAAACTGATATTTATTAACAATGACAGGACCTGTTCTCTACAGACATGCGTCTGTTGCGAAAGGTAAATGTAAACACTTCAGCACAATGTTTTTTTTGTCTCGCTTTGTTTTTTATTTTCGAAAATAAAGTACAGTGACGATTAGTGATGTCTTTTGATCAGTAGTCGACCACTAGTAAAAAAAGGTGCGTCAGCAAGCCTCTGGCAGTGGGTGCATAGTGTAGTGATTTATTCTGCTATTCGATATAGCTTTAGGGATATCCAAATCCACGTTCAAGTGACAGTCGATATTTTTTATAATATAATATAATAATAATATAATATTGTACTACATTCACACAACGCCACCTAGTCCCATATTGATAATATTTTATTGTTAGTATGGTGGTTAATGCCCCAATTTCATAGGTTAACCTGTGGAAGTTCCATAGAAATCAGTCCTCCCAATCCGGAGATAAGCTTGTCATAATAAGACAGGCAGACAGAAATAAAATAAAAAAATGGATTGTTATAGGTATACGTACCGTATCGATATTCAGATCCATTTAGTAAGAAGTTGTTATTATGATATCAAAACAGGTGTTAGAATTTAATTTATTTATAAGGAATTTATTGGATGGATTTTTGTGAGTCATTTCAGTCAAGTATTATAACAAGGCCAGCATTGTGCACGTCTGTGGTTTAACCCTTAAAAAACTTTCGATAACAGTTTATATCATGTTTGTATGCTGTACGTTGGTGTAAAAAATCCAAATTACTACTGAACTCTTAGTTCCACGCTAGCACTTTTATTTATCAAGTGTTTCATTTTCATTGTTTGTTTTTGCATATATTTTTTTCTTTAATGTTTTATTAACTCTTACGTAACACTGTCTAATATTTGACTACTCTTGTCTTAAATCTAATATTTTATATTTATATCTGATATATAAGCTGTTACAAAAGTTCTGTCTTGGTATAGTGACGTGAAAGTTGTATTAATTGTAAACAAGTAGGCATGTATAGAAATTAATATTTCTCAAGTAGCATGTGAGATTACGTTGTATAGTATTTATCTCTGTGTATTCGACTTCGGAAACCATACAAGAAATCTAATCTGAAAATTCGTTCAAAATTCAGATCCGATCTACTCTCGATCTCACAAATCATAAAAGGTAGTCTTGTAAAGTAGTAAATACTTTGACTGCACGGATGGCGCAGTGGTTTAAGCGGTGACCGCTTCCTACTGCGCTGAGTGTTGTGGGTTCGATCCCCACATGGGACAACACTTTGTGTGATCCACAAATAGTTGTTCTGAGCTATGGCGTTGTTTATGTATGTTTGTAAGTCCCCCGCGACACAGGATGTATTCCTAGTGTGTAAGAAGATTAAGCTCAACGCTGGATGTTTAATACTTTACTACGATTATACACTTTATGATATTTTTGAGATCGAGAGTAGATCGGAACTAAATTTAATGGTTGATTTTTATTATTATTTATATCTTTGAAATTTCGCATATGCAATGTGAAGAAACAGGCCTTTTTTGAAGGTATTGCAGTTGTCTAACAGGCATGTCTCATTAGCATTACTTTGACGTCATAATCTAGTATGGGCCTTCATTAATCAATTAACATGAAAATCAAAATAATTACAAGACAACTATATTTTTTCAATATACTTACAGAACCATCTCAATACGGCTCGAATGTACAACAACACGGAGGTCAACAGTATTACGCGATGCCTACTTCAGGAGTGGTTGGAGTAGTTGGGGAGCGTCCTCCTCCCCTGCTCTATGCCCATCATGCTCATACTCCTCATACGCCTCACACTCCTCACCATGCGAACTTGATGTATGCCCCAGCGCCGCAGCCGCCACATGTCTATCTCGATATGCTGAAGAGAGACGGTCAGCAGCATCAGGAACAGAAGAAAGATGCTCAGGTAGGCGCACAGTATTGGAGCAGTTTAAAAAAAGAAATTGAGGTAACTAATATTTAGGGTTTGAGTGAAATTAAAATATTTTTGATTCTATTACTCTATTGGTGTAGTGCTCAGTGATTTTGGCTGTTGAGTTATAGGACGTGGGTTCGATATTGAGTGAGGATGGTTATGATCGCTTGTTCTGTCTGGGTGTAATTGATATGTGTAATATAGTATGAAGTAATATTTAAGTATACCAGTATCAGTCTGTATCAGGTGGTCTGGTTACCATGGTACGGATTTGTTTAGTTTGGAATCAGACGGCCGCGTGTAAGGTGTCTTAAGCTTAACTGATTTTAGAGTAAGTAATTAAAATTATAATAATTATTATTTACGCTAACATTATTTTTCTATGTGTTTTACTGATACCAGCTACCATCTGATACCAACTCTACCATCGTCCCCTCAGTCCGAGAATTTCGGTCCTCTTTCACCAATCCACTCCCACACACACAAAAATATGTATATTTGTCGTTGTTTTACGTACAATAAAGAGGCTATCTCTATCTTTCAAAAGTGAAAACAATTAGTACGTCAAAACGAAAACTAGTGGCAGTTTAGTATAAGATTGAGTACAGTAGTGGTATGTTGTCAGCCGCAGGTGCTGATCGGCCTGAGCGAGGCGCACCACCCGTCCGTGAGCAGCGGCGTGGGCTACGCGCAGCCGCCCGTGTCGCGCCACCTCGCCATACACCCGCAGCAGCACAACAACATGCAGGTGCGTGACCTACTGCCCCACCTCCGTACCTCCTTATCCCCGTACCTCCGTACTTCCATACCTCCGTATCTCCACAGCTCCGTACCTCCATACCTTCCACCAGCAAAACGGACGGGTCACGGCGTAGGTCCAAGTATCGAGGCGGAGGTCGTCACTTACCATTATTTCCTTTTGCGTTCCCACTCGAGTACAAACAAAAACATCAAAAAGAAAATAATAATTATAGAACCCGGTCGCTGCCAACCTACTGGGCAACGACAAATGTCGTGTCATCAACATTAGGAAGACAATAAAAGTATATTTTTAACTTTGCGGACTTATTTTTTGATAAAAAATTGCCATTTCAGACTATAATCCGTCTCTGTGCCAAATTTCTAGCGTTATGAGTAACAAACATCCATAAATCTATCCTCACAATTCGACTTTATGATATTAACGGAAAATAGAAGATTGTTTTCAAGTCATATTTTCTCCAATCGAATATTTTACCTTACTAATTTTATTTTTTGTTTTTCAGACTTCGAAACCAGGCAGTATAACTCAAGGATATCCCGTGCAGCAATCCAACAATGTGCAAAACAATATATATCCCAACAGACATCGATATTAGCTAGTAGTCATAAGACGACACCATCGAAAATGGCCACCATAGCACAAGTCCATCCGGCCGTGACTTCACGTCACGTGAAAGCCTTGAATTCTTTTAGACCATTGTTAAAGAGTTGTTGAGACATTTGTTAATCTGTTCACAATAGTACTGATTTCAATCGTCTTCATTTAACATGCTTAAGTAGCTTCAAAAATATTAATCGAGACATTTTTTGCTCCGCACAACCAATCTGTGGAACGGGAGCTATAGTCTGCGGTATTTTCGGACGGGTACGACCTTCAAATCTTCAAGAAAAGAGCGTACTCCTTCCTAAAAGGCCGGCAACGCGTTTGTGACTCCTGAGTTGCAGACGTTCATGGGCGGCGATGGTCACTTTCCATCGGTGACCCGTCTGCTCGTCTGCCCCCTCTAACATAAAAAAATAACACAAATTGTTGCCCTATTTGGGGAACCCACAACAATTAGTGCAGTAGAAAGCGGCTAGGTGACTGTTTAAACCACTACGTCATCCGTGTAGTCGATAAATAATTGTGACACGACTAAGACTAAGAATAGATAGCAACAGACCCTAGAGCTAAGAATACGATAGCAAAATTGTTCAAAGCCTAATTGTCCCTATGTATAAAACAACATGTCGAAAGTGGTTTACAGGAGAGTGTTTCAAAGTCTTAAACTGTTGATGTGGCGAAGAAAATAAAAAATATTTATAACTGAGTGATAAGTAATACTGAAAGCACATTTAATTGAGTTCTGTTATGTAGTCTTTTTTATTGTGTATGTGATTATAAGTTCAACAATTCCTTAGTGACAGTGAGTGTCAGAAGTTAAGGCAACAGAGACAGTTGATAGGATTAGGTTATGCAGTGCTAAAAAAAAATACGTGTAAATACAATACAGACTTAACAGTGATAAAGGTGTATAAAAGTGGTTGTTTATTGGCAACTAATTTTAAGAAATCGCTGGTAAATATAAACCTATAGCGTACGGAGTAAATGGGCTGGCATTGAGTAACTCATCAAATATATGGTACAGAAATATAGATAAAACTGATAATTTGGAGATTGACATAGAAAGTGAGAAAACATATTTAGCAACTAGCTGAGACCCGCGGTGTTACCCGCGTTTGTTGTTATAACCGCGGGCAACGCCGCGGGGCGAAGCTAGTCTAAAAAAAGTAGCCTAAGTTACTACTTATGTCATCAGCTATCTGCCAGTGAAAGTCCCGTTGGAATCGGTCCAGCCGTTCCAGTGAATACCCGGAACAAAAAGACAGACAGACAGACCAAAATTGTAAAAAATGTTATTTTGGCATATGTACCGTGTAAACATACATATGCATTTAGTAAAAAGCGGTTATTTCAATATTACAAACAGACACTCCAATTTTATTTATTTGTATAGATAATGCATGATAGAGAGTGAAAAGAACATACAAAGAAAAAGCGTAAAGAGATAAGAAAAAGATGATAATCAGAACAAGAGTGCCAGTACATGATCAATCATCATTATGATTACGAGGAACAATATATGATACAAACTTAATTAAAAACAGTTTAAAAAAACTTAATAAAAAAAAGTTTGTTTAAAATATATAAAAAAAAATACTTCTAAATAATTGGTAAATCAATTATCTCGAAGTATTTTTTTATATTTTCTAGGACATTGAAACTACTAGTTCACATTTCACCACAATCATTTACTTAGCATACCGGTTATTATAATACTTGCCAATAAACTCCTGCGGATTTAAAAACTTGATGTTTAGTCGTGCGAGTTTAATGCAGTCGGGGCCAGAGATCCTGGTGCGAGTTTATTTCAAATCAATTCGATCGTCACACCTCGCCTCCTTCGTCCCACTATTTCTGCATTCTAGTTGCGCAACTACTGTACATTAAATGCACATAATATATACTACATAGCTAAAATTGTAATAGTTATTATATACATCGTCGCTGTAGAATGAATTGTATGTTGGAACAATTTATATATTTTTATTTTGTAAAAATCTAATGAAAACCACGTATCTCATAGCACAGCAAAGCCATAGATGACATTAGTAGCCATTAATTGGATATTTGGCTTTGCTGTGCTATTATTATTATTTTTTTGACATACGAGGTATTCATTCTACAGCGACGATATGTAGATTATATATCGAAAGCTTCTTTAAAATATTTAATTGATTTGTATACATAGTTCATATTTTTATGTTTGTAAACATAGTTCATAGTATTAAGTTTAACTATCAAAAATTATTACATTCATAAACTAACTCATTTGTAGGGACAAAACGGGCAAAGGGTAGTGGGAAATAAAATGGGGTTTACAGTTTCGGGAGTTTTCTTGTCTAACCAATGTAAATAAGAATAAAAGATTTAAAGATGAATCACTTTATTCTCATTTGTTTGTTATACATTTATAGCAATATTCAGGATTTGTTCAAATGTCATATTTACAAGCCAAGCTGTTATGAAACTTATATTAAAGTCTAGAAGAAAGTAAAAAAATATTGTTTTATTTTGGCGTGTTGTTACTAAGAAAAGGGGCTATATCTAATGCACAAAACCTTGGATTAGTCTTCGTATTAATTTATCCAAAGGAAATAAATACTCACTAATGTTACCGCTTTGACCGCTAAATTGTAAAGTCATCAGCGTGTCTGAGCTATAAAATTCGTATCGATAATCCTAAATACTTTATATTATCGTATCGTATCGATAATCCTATATACTTTATATTACTAATTAACTTATTGTTACTGTTTGTCTCCTATTATTACACTAATATAGGCGAAAGTGCTAGTGTGTGTGTTTGTATGCAGTGTTTTCATGGGACCAGTTAAATACACGTTTTACAATAAAAAAAAAAACATCAATAACATTTAATATGATCTTATTTTCAATGAAAAATTAACGATTAGTATAATACTCATTAGTTACCAAGTGTAGTTTTTCGTAGACGCCGACTGCGGCATAGAAGGCTCGACATTTGCGTAGGTACTTGCCCGCATTCCACATCCGGATGTAGCAGCGTAACAAAGCACTCGCTTATCCATGTTACTGGGATTGAACGAAGGAAGACTGACGAAAGTTCTTAATTTTATTAGTCACTAGCTGATTTTGCTTTCTTTTACTGTTAGGTAACCCATTTATCGAGGAGTTTATAGGCCATATAACATCACGCTACGACCAATAGCAGCTGAGCGTCAATGAAAAATGTTACAGACACAGAGGAAGTTGCGTGGGTCAACTAGTAATTAATAAGTTTGACCGATTATCCTGATCAGAATCTTAGTATTAACGATTTTTTCTATATTTGAAAACATGGTATTGTCTTGTGCCACGTTCTAAAGCGTGTACTAAATCGTTATGTCTTACTTATTATAAACTAAAAAAGCAAAAATTTGTAAACTTTGTAAGTAGCGGAACCTTAAATAGAAAATTCCAATGAAACCACCCGGACAGCCGGCCGCAGGCGCGTTACTTTAGCGGACCAAGACCATGTCATTTCAGCCCCTCCCCCCATCGCCGCCGCACGTGACTATCCCGGGGAAGCCGGATCCAGACATCAGGACGCTACATTTTTGACAAAAGTAGTGACTAAGTGCTGTTTTAAATACTTTAAACATAAAACATAAAAAGTTTATTCTTTGTAACTAAAAGTAACAAATTGCACAGTAGAATATGGTTGATAATGACTGCTATAGTTCATAACTGTGTTGCAGCCATTAACGCCCACCTCCGGAAGATAAGTTACAGGTTTCAAGTTTCATCATGCTTGCTGAATATAAACCAAATCAAAGTTATAAATACTAGCTTTTCGATAACGTAACTTTTACGCTAGTTATTTTTTATCGCACGAGTTTACTAAGTATTTGTTTTTGCACTAAAATTCCTTTGCTGGACCTCTTATTTTGCAACGTGTGTGTAAAATTTCATGATGATCGGTTTATTAGTTAAGTGTGCAAGCGTAACAACCAAATAAACTCACATCGGCATATATAATAAGTTAGAATTCTATACCAGTAAGGTTGCAAAGAAATACTCTGCTCACTTGATAGATTGACGTAGCCGCTCTGTAGAGCCCTCAATGTATGTGTTGAATAACCCTCATTATACCCTATTAAGTAATAGTAACTACTGCAAATTCTAGATCTGTAGTTTAGTCAGATAAACAGTTTTACGACTTCGTTTGCCTTGACATGGGAGGCTATTGGCTAGGATTTGAGGCGACAAAGATATACTTATAGATGACGAATCAAGTTATGACTGCTTTATGCTTATGCCTTTTGTGTCCGACAAATAATTTATAATAATGTAAGTAAGTAGGTATTGTATGTATTGTACCAATGTATTGATCTGATTCTATAGGCCATAGAACCAGATCAATACATTGGTTGCATAAGTTTTTACGATTATTTTTTTAAGGTTCGCTTCTGAGTCTATCAAAATTTCGAAGATTTATTAGAAACAGTTTAACACAGACAGTCTCCAAGCTGCAACAGCTTAGGTTGGAAGCTCTCCCTCATCCGCCATACTCACCAGACCTTGCACCTACCAACTATTACTTTTTCCAAAATTTAGACAACTTTTTAGTGGGTAAAAAATTCAATTCCCGAGAGGCAGTACAAAATGCCTTTGAAGAGTTTGTTGCCTCGAGTCCAGCTGATTTTTACGAGAAGCCATCAATAAACTGCCAATGCGTTGGCAAAGGTGCGTCGATTGCATGGGTGATTACTTCGAATAACAGAAATAAAAAAGTTTGAAAAAATAAGTACTTTCACTTATTGCATACCAAACGGCAATTTCATAGGTAAAGACCTATTATTTTAGTACGATCAGGAATTAATTTATAGTGTTGAGTCTATTGAGAACCTACCCCCATAATACTTCCTACCTTCATAGTCGTCGTGCAACCAGTTTTTTATATTTATTCATTTTACATGATGGTCTGTGGTTTGTATAGCGTCAGTTTTATCTGTTAATCATCGCTGTCATAGA